CTCAGTGGACAAGTGGACCTGTTTTCCATTGCAATCGCCAAATTCTGAAGCTGCTAGCTTCTCCATTATTCATGAGTGGCTCCACTCCTGCCACCCTTGGGGCTGCTTTCTGTTGGCAAAGGCCTGTGTACTCTGCAAACCTTCAAATATGAGAGCATCTGATGTTCCAGGGAAATAAAATACTGCAAATTCAGACAACAAACTGCTTACTAAAGGCTCTACTACAAGGACCTTCAGTAGCTTTCCGGTCCTTCAAAATCTGTCTCCTCAGAGCTATACAAAGCCTTAGCCTAAGCTCAGCTTCCTAACTCTGTCTTTCTTTGGATGGGAAGAGGGATTTAGGGATGTTGGTAAAGGGCTTTTTGCCCATAGAAATCAAAACTAACAAAGGACGAGGACTGAATCACCGGAAGATATTGTCATCCATACTAGTTAATTATGTTATTAAGATTGAATATCAAAGACTGATTAGCATTAAATAGAAGATAAAAGAACTCATTTCTGAATGGCAGTAGTTAAGACAATACGTCTACCTGGAAAAACACGTTTGAAGATGGAAGGCTCAGGCCAGGCCCTATCCCCTATGCTACCTCACCCAGTCCTTCCAAAAAAACTCTGTGAGTCCCCATTCTACCAATAGGGAAAAGAGCCTCAAAGGATTCAAATAAACTTGGCAATGTTGAAGAGTAAGAGACGGCCAGGATTTGAAGCAGGACTATTTGATCTTGAAGCCCATTTCCTGATTTCCCTTTGTGCTCCTGGATGTAATGGACAAACCTCCTCTAGCAGAAGAGCTGAGAGGGAAGTGAGTCTCTTTCCCAGGCCCCTTAGGGCTGCTTCGGCTTCAGGAGAAATTAGTGTTTGACAGCTGTGGACTTGGCTCCATGTCTGTGGATAAGGGGAAGGTTTGTGGGGAAGAAGGCTTGGAGCAGAGATGTGGGCTTCCTCTTCCTTCCCCTCAGTCACAACTGCCGAACCCAGAATGGAAACGAAACTCTGAATGAATCAAATTGGAATTTGGGCACACCTACACTTTCACGATCCAAATACCCACTGTGGATCATGTGGATAAGCTGCCCAGCCCACCCTCCTGCTCTTATCCTAATTATTTTCTTAGACCCAGAGCAACAGATTTAAAATCACCATCCACCCACCTAACTCTGTATCCTGAAAGCCATCTTCAAATGCACGCAATATTTGAGGAAGCGGAACGGGGCCCCTCATTCCAGGAAGGAATATTACTTAATAGCCCAGAAATGAAACCACTTCCTCTTCGTGAACACTCGAGATACCAGACAGTCCACTTCCCCCTTTACTTGTCTCACCAATATATATCCCTGGTATGTGTGGGACAGGATACTGCCTTCAATACCCATATGGAAAATCACTGACATACTCCTCACCGAGAGCTAGCAGATAAGAAGGAAGCATTTAATGATGCTTATCCATGGCTCAAAGAGAACAGCTGGTAACAGAGGGAGTTCATAACGGGTGTTATGAGAGGACTCTGATGTTTGGAGAGTTGGGGAATCATTCAAAAATGCAGGCCCATTTAAGACTGGATCAGAAATCAGAAAACCAGAAAAGACCTCCTCTTTATCTGGCCCTGCATGGCTAAATGGGAAGAAACATTGCAGAGAATGAGAAAGGTTCTGTGGCAGTCAGGAAAGGAGGCCAGGGCGGAACCCAGGAGGATCCTGGAAGGCTGGAAGTTGTTCAGAACCAAAGGATTTTCTTTTGTTTCTTCCTTTCCTTCCTCTTTCTTTTCCCTTCCTTTCCTCTTTCTTATTTTGAGACAGGATCTCAACCTGTTCCCCAGGCTGGAGTGGAGTGCAATGTCGCAACCACATCTTACTGCAGGTTCTAACTCCTGGACTTGAGCAATCTTCCTACCTCAGCCTCCTGAGTTGCTGGGACCAAAGGCATGCACCTCCACACCCAGCTAATCTATTTTATTTTATTTCATTTCATTTCATTTTGAGATGGGTCTCACTACGTTGCCCAGACTGGTCCTGAACTCCTGGTCTCAAGTGATCCTCCCCCTTAGCCTCCCAAAACACTGGGATTACAAGCATAAGACACTGTACCCAACCCTAGAGGATTTTTTTAAGTTTTTGGGGAACAGGTGGTGTTTGATTACATGAATGAGTTCTTCAGTGGTGACTTCTGAGATTTAGGTGCACCCATCACCTGAGCAGTGTACGCTGTACCTAATGTGTGGTCTTTTATCCCTCACCTCCCCCGCCCTTCACCTGAGTCCCCAAAGTCCATTATATCATTCTTATGCCTTTGCATCCTCATAGCTTAGTTCCTACTTATGAGTGAGAACATATGATGTTTGGTTTTCCATTCCTGAGTTACTCAGAGTAATGCTCTCCAGTTCCAACCAGGTTGCTGTGTATGCCATTATTTCATTCCTTTTTATGACTGAGTAGTATTCCATGGTATTTATTTTCTTCATCCATTCATTGATTGATGGGCATTTGGGCTGATTCCATATTTTTGCAATTGTGAATTATGCTGCAATAAACATGTGTGTGCAGGTATCTTTTTTGTCTTTTTTCAAGACAGAGTCTTGCGGTGTCACCTAGGCTGGAGTGCGGTGGTGCGATCTTGGATCACAACCTCCATCTCCCAGCTTCAAGCAATTCTCCTGCCTCAGCCTCCCGAGTAGCTGGGGTTATAGGCATGCATCAACACGCCCAGCAAATTTTTGCATTTTTAGTAGAGACAGAGTTTCACCATGTTGGCCAGGCTGGTCTCAAACTCCTGAACTGGTGATCCGCCCCCCTCACATCCCAAAGTGCTGGGATTATAAGCATGAGCCACTGTGCCCAGCCTATCTTTTTTGTATAATGACTTCTTTTTCTCTGGGTAAATATCCAGTAGTGGGATTGCTGGATCAAATGGTAGATCTATTTTTAGTTCTTTAAGGAATCTCCACACTGTTTTCCGTCTTGGTTGTACTAGTTTACATTCTCACCAACAGTGTAAAAATGTTCCCTTTTCACCACATCCATGCCAACAACTACATTTAAAAAAAATTTTTTTATTATGGCCATTCTTGCTGAAGTGAGGTGGTATCGCATTGTGGTTTTGATTTGCATTTCCTGATAATTAGTGATGTTGAGCATTTTTTTTCATATGTTTCTTGGCCATTTGTATATCTTTTTTTTGAGAATTGTCTATTCATGTCCTTAGCCACTTATTTATGGCATTGTTTTGTTCTTGCTGATTTATTTGAGTTCCTTGTAGATTCTGGATATTATAATAGTCCTTTGCTGGATATATAGATTGCGAAGATTTTCTCTCACTCTGTGAGTTGTCTATTAACTCTATTGATTATTTCTTTTGCTGTGCAAAAGCTTTTTAGTTTAATTAAGTCCAATATATTTATCTTTGTTTTTGTTGCATTTGCTTGTGGGTTCTTGGTCATGAAGTCTTTGCCTAAGCCAATGTCTAGAAGGGTTTTTCCAGTGTTATCTTCTACAATTTTTATGGTTTCAGATCTTATATTTAAGTCTTTGATTCATCTTGAGTTGATTTTTGTATAAGGTGAGAGATGAGGATCTAGCTTCATTCTTCTACATGTGGCTCGCCATTTATCTCAGCACCATTTACTGTAGCCCCACTGTATCTACAAGTAACCAGCTAGCTTTTGATTTTACAGGCTCATAGGTGGAAGGTACTTGTCTTGTCTCAGATGAGACCTTGGACTGTGGACTTTTGGGTTAATGCTGAAATGAGTTAAGACTTTGAGGGGCTGTTGGGAAGGCATGATTGGTTTTGAAATGTGAGGTCATGAGATTTGGAGGGGCCAGAGTCAGAATGATATGGTTTGGTTCTGTGTCCCCACCCAAATCTCATCTTGAATTGTACTCCCATAATTCCCACATATTGTGGGAGGGATCCAGTGGGAGATAGGTTGAATCACTAAGGTGGTTTCCACCATATTGTTCTCATGGTAGTGAATAAGTCTCATGAGATCTGAGGTTTTATCAGGAGTTTCTGCTTTTGCATCTTCCTCATTTTTGCCACTGCCATGTAAGAAGTGCCTTTCACCGCCCACCATGATTCTGAGACCTCCCCAGCCATGTGGAACTGTAAGTCCAATTAAACCTCTTGTTCTTACCAGTCTCTGGTATGTCTTAATCAGGAGTGTGAAAACGAACTAAATACAGGCACTATGGCCATTTTTACAATATTGATTCTACCTATGCATGAGCATGGGATGTGTTTCCATTTGTTTGTGTCATCTATCATTTCTTTCAGCAATGTTTTGTAACTTTCCTTGCAGAGGTCTGTCACCTCCCTCATTAAGTATATTCCTAAGTATTTTATTTTTTTATGCAGCTATTACAAAAGAGGTTGGGTTCTTGATTTGATTCTCAGCTTGGTTGCTGCTGGTGTATAACAAAGCTACTGGTTTGTATTTTGTATCTTGAAACTTTGCTGAATTCATTTACCAATTCTAGGAGCTTTTTGGATGAATCTTTAGTGTTTTCAAGGTTTATGATCAGGTCATCAGCAAACAGAGACAGTTTGACTTCCTCATTACCAATTTGGATGCCCCCCCACAAATAATTTTTAAGACTAACTTATCAAATCTTAAAATCACAACCAAAAGTATAGGAACTGCACATTTCAGACCAATAATTAAATCAGTGGCTATCCACTTAGGCAACCCATGAGTATCGAGAAAGTTAAATGCCTAAGCTGCACCCAAAAATTTCAAATTAGGAGGCCTGTGATGAAGCCCCGCAAGGAGCCACCAGCAACGCCCAGCAGGATTGAAGAACCGCTGAGTTAAATTCCAAAGCTGTATTCACACCCCACTTCCAACCCATTCACCCCTAACCTTTCCCAGGACCAAAACCAGCCCTAGTGTGTTGGCACGGTATGGCTTTCCTCCAGGAACTTCAGTTTTTCCAGAAGTTTCTAACTGTAAATTCCTCACCAAGATTTCACTTCCTCCTATAATCAAGGCATAAAGATAGGACGATTTCCACAAACCACATTTATTTAGAAATAATGTTCCAGAGGAGTGATTTGGGTTGGTTTTTATCTCTGCTTCTTCTCAGTAACTCATCCACTAAAAACACAGCTCACAGGAGGGTCTGATCCAATGGGGGGCTTGAGGCCATTCAGCTCAGCCCAGTTCCCAGGGCCAGTGTCCCATTCCAGAGGCCAAGTCCATGCCCCCCTCCCATCATCAAAGCCTGTTCCTCTAGAGCTGTCCAGTCTCTCTGCCAGGCCCCAAACTCTCCATCTTCAGCGCTTTGACCAAACAAGACAGGAGGACAGCTGGGAGGGTGGGGGTCTGAATTCACTGGTAGAGTGGCCCAGGACACACAGAGGAGAGAGTCTCTGCCACTGCTGAGATGAAGGGACTCTCCATTCTTCTCAATAGGCTTGCTGTGTTTTTGGCATTCCCCCATCTGACATTTTTTCAAGTGAGTTCTGATCTGACCTCAGAGAAGGCCAAACTGGGTGCTGTGGGGGAAGGGAAGAAAGAAGCAAAGCACACTTGTAAGAAGTAGTTCCGCAATCATAGCAGCTGCTGTTCATTGAGCTCTCTTCATGAACCCGGCCCAATTCTGAATTTCATATGCATTATCTCATTTGATCCTTGCCAGGAGGAGGTAGGTTTCATTATTCCCATTCTAAGGATAAGGAAACTGAGGCTCAGACGGGCCAAGTTACCTGCCCAAGACCATCTGGCTGCATCAGAGTCAGAATTTGGACCCAGGTCTGTCCAACTCCACAGCTTGTTATTTGAACCACTGCGTACAGCCTCAGAAAGGGAAACCAGTAAGGTACCACTACAGTTACATGAATTCCATCAACTCGACAACAGAAAACAAAGGCTCTTTGTTACTCCTGCTCCCTATCGGAGAACGCCTTTGCAAATGAAATCTCAAACAAGTGGCCTGCAGTCCTAAATTCACCAACAGGTTTATTTAACTTGGCACATCATATATTAAAATAACCTGACCAGCCCCTGCCGGCCTTTGAGTTTGCGGCCCAGGCCTCTCCTCTTACTCTGTTGGATCTAGTTCAAGAGGACAGGAATGGCGTTTTCCACAAAATCCAAACCATCAGTGCCTAGCTTTAAACCCAGGGGAGGTAGCTGTGAAGACAATTGTTCTTCCTGCATCATCTCCACCTCGGAGACTTTCTGCAGGCAGGGCCACCCTGGCTGGTGACCCACTCAGCAGTAGCCACAAGGCAGCTGCATCAGCAGGTTTCCAGGAGCCAGGATGAGGCCTGGCAAGTGACTGCAGCATCATGTAACAATAATGGGAGGAAGACACAGGCGGAAAATGACTCCATTCAGCTGCAACTTCAGAGTGGAGTTAATGTTTCACTCAGTGGATCCAAGCCAGGCCTCTGATCTCACACTTCCCTGGCAGACGTTTCTCTGCAGCAATCAGCTGGGAGTCATGTGTCCTCAGGGCTGGTGCCGCACGAACAAACAAAGCCCATCATTCCACAAGCAGAGGAGGCCAGCCTTCCCGAACCTAGCAGAACACTGCTCCTTAATGGGCTGGGTGCCTATAATTAGTCTACAAATAGCACAGTGCTCATTGCCAGCTCACTCCTTTAGTCCCTACCCCTACTCACCGCACGCCCCGAGGCGCCTTTTCTAGGTGCTATAGTCCCCTAGGGGGCCACAGAAGTCTAAGCAAAGGGAAAGTAGAAATCAGACTCCAAAATATTGTAGGAGATCCAGCATGTAGCCCGCCTGGCAGTTAGCTTATGACAAGGTGTGATA